GCCCGTACGTCGAGGCCTCCACAGTCGCTACTCCTGCAGCCAATGTTACTCCAACTCAGCCTCCTCTTGATATTCCTGTTGCCCCTGCTCAGCGCGCCCCTACTCCCGTCACTGCCTCTGCTTAACGTGGGAGGCGGCAATTTTTTTCTACTGATTATTAGATCGTATTGATTACTATCATGAGTACGGGATTGTTCTGTTGTTCCTTGAACTGCATGCGGAAAACAGGTCTTCGAGTATCTAGCTGTGGTTTTGAATAACACATTGGCTGCTTTACTATGTCCTGAGTGATATAAGGGAACACGAGCTGGAATATGAATGGCACGATCCTTCCTGCTTTACTTAGGTATATGGCCATAACTTACCAAATATCATTGATTTGGAATATGAATACGCGCTCACGTGCAAGGCGCGTTTAGTATGGTCGCGTATTAACGTCTGCACCATCTCACTTGTTGACCCTCATCCCACTCATGGACTCACCACTACGACCACCCCTCGTGAACAAGACCAACACAGGCAAACATGACGGCGACCAGGTCACCGACAACACTCTAATTCCTTTAGCGGAGCACAAACGTTCACTAGTCGTATCGTTAGAAGGGCCTTCGCCGCGAAAACGCGTGAAGGTACAACGAGAGGAGACTATTGGGACAGATGAAAGTGACGATGAAGATTCAGACGATGAAGATTCTCTGCCAGTGGTTATTAGAAGGCCGCGGAATCTGACAACTTTTGGGATTATGAACATGAGGATGAGCATGAGGCCTTGCGCGGTATCGCATCTACCTTCATGTGAGTCATCGTAGCAAACCTAACAATGAATATATTTACGGATATATTATATAGATTCTACGCGACCGATACTCGAGTCTTACGTGTCGTGTAATCGTTCCGATATGTTCAAGCTCCATTCAATGAGCAACGCGTCGTACATGAGCCCTCCATACGCATGCGCGTACTCCCATAACTCGAAGCGTGGTGAAAACTCGTTGCTTGCTGTGACGACTGAGGAAGGTGCGGTACATGTACTTGACACGTCTAAACGTCATGAGTGGGATGTTGGTGAGCACCTAGCGCAGGCTGCTGAACCGTTCACAACCCGGATAACACTCCTTTCCAGAGCCACAACGATGCACATTCCAGCCGCATGAAAATGGAGTATTTGATGTTCAGTGGTCCCCTGATGATATGCGGCTGGCTACAGTCTCAGCAGACAGATCGCTCTGCATCTCCACTGTCTCAAAAGATGGAATTACACCCACAGCACGCTTCACGCACCACACAAGCACAGTCAAATGCGTCGCCTGGGACCCAACTCGAGCTGGAGATGTAATATGTTCAGGCAGCAGAGACGGGATGATTTGTGTATGGGATCTACGGTTAGGGTATGATATGAAGCCTGTGATAGTGATACCGAAGTCGCATGACACCGAGAGGAAGGTTTTACCAAGGAAGGGAAAACTGACTGCGCCACCTGCGAGAGGTGTAACAAGTCTCCTGTTCGCTGACCATGGCCCGCCCAGTCTGATTAGTAGTGGGTCGTATGATGGGTGCGTAGATGTTTAGTACACACCTAGATACGATAAGCTCATGACCTTTAACTTGCTGTAGAATTTTGCGGCAATGGGACCTGAGATACATCGACACTAAACGACGGTCAACCCGCAGAAAACCGACATTAAAAAGCGTTGCTTCAGCCGCACATGTGTCCAGCGACGATCCAACCCTCTACAGGGGAACACGGAGAGCACGAGGGATTACAAGCATGAGTCCGGGTACAGGCATCACAACAGGCCTCCTGTTTGCGTTGTCCAACGACTCCAGGATTCACACATATGACATGGCGACGCTAGAACCTCTCTCCGGCCGGACAACCGATCCTAGCTTGGACAGATGGTCTTATGGAGATGAAAACATGCGCACGAACTCGTTCTATGTCCGTCTAGCAATATCGCCCTGTGGACGATGGCTCGCAAGCGGGGGGCAAAAGGATGGCTGTGCATACCTGTTCGACGTGTCAGGATCTTCTAAGGCACGTGCACATCCTTCGACATGCACAGATGCGCGTGGGGATGCGGTTGAATTGTTTGGGCAGAAAGGGGAGGTCGGCGCGGTGGATTGGGTGCCGGGGAGTTTGGCTACCTGCGCAGACGACGGGACTGTAAGAGTCTGGAGATCAGATATAGGGACGTACAGGAGATGCGAAGAGGATCCCGACAAGATGCAATGGAGTTGGTGTTGGGCAAGGGAGCAACAGTAAGGAGATTTTGTTATCGGAACTTTGTGTCGGGGCATGGGCGATCTAACTGTAAATGTAATGAGACGAACGTTTTACCGAATTGGCCATGCGAATGACAAGATGCTGTGAGAGAGCGAAGATGAGCAATTAGGTGGTGTACAGACAGCGTATGATAAACTAGCATAATGTCCCGAAGAAGTACGTGTGGAGCGATAGATATCAACGAAGAGCCACGAGAAAGGCAATCAAGTTATCACTTCTTTTGGATCGCATTTACTAACCTGTAAAAGAGTATTAGTAAGTTGCAAAACGGGATTAAAAGCCTTTCAACGCACCAGTCAAGACCCTCTTCCAAGCCCTCCCCCTTGGTTGCACAACTGCCCCTAACGCTCCAATCACGGCCCTTCTCCCCTCCTGCAAGTCCAAGCTGCTCGCTGATCTCCTCAGGCTTCAGAGCACCTTCGACATCTTGCTTGTTGCAAAATACGAGTAAGGGTACACCTGCGAGTTCTTCTTCCGAGAGCATTGTGAGCAACTCTGTGCGTGATGTTGATAGTCGATCTCGATCGGACGAGTCGATAACATAGATTATAGCCGACGAGTTCGGGAAGTAACAACGCCAATACGGTCTGTAGTAGCGAGACTTGACGTTACATACACTATATAACAACAGAGACACTCACCTTATACTCGACTGCCCGCCAATATCCCACACCTGAAACTTGATGTTTTTATACTGCACGAGAGCAGCAGCTTGAGAAACTACTCTGAATGAACTACGAAACACGCGCACCTCTACTGTTTCTACGTTGAAACCGATAGCTGAAGACAAACAATTATAACAATACTTCGCTTGACAAACAAGGAAGAATAGCTTACTTGGAATAGTGGAAACAACTTCACCGATCTAAACATGAGACTGAATATATCGACTGAAACACATTGTATAGTATTCGTACCTGTAGCCTGTACAGGATCGTTGTCTTCATATCAAGAGTCAATACAAGCATTCCCCAGTGTGGATAACGAGACCATATACCTTTCCCGCGGCATCGAGACCGAGCATCAATATCCGGACATCCTGCTCTTTACTCCAATGCACAAGTGAAGTGAGTGAGTTGTATAACGATGAAAACGAGAGACCCATGAATCGATGTCGTAGGAGAGAGCGAACGGACGAAGAGGCTGAAAGAGAGACGAAGGAGATGGTGGTATGTGAACAAGAGGTAAGGTAAGCGGTTTCGAGAGCAAGCTGACGCGAGACACGTCTCCAGCAGATCTCAGATTTTGATCAATGCCAGTGGTACCCTCGGCAATTCACAGGTCTTCCAAACACTCCCATGGTCGTTAAACTCGATTCATCTACCAACTCTGGGCAAGCTATAGACGAAGTTGAACCAATAGTCAGTAAGTCACGAAAATCCAGGAAGGTCTGTACAGGCGACGCAGAGGCTGTAGCGAAGAAAGAAAAGAAGAAGCGGAAGAAGATAGAGGAGGCGGAAGCAGAGCATAAGGGAGAGCACGGTGAGGATGAGGTACAACAGGGCAGGCCGAAGAAACGAAAGAAGAACAAAGATATCGCTGCAGCAGAGTCTGAGAGCGTCGAGGAGGACACCAAGGAGCACAAGAAAAAGGAGCGGCCTGAACCCGCGAAGGAAAGTGCTGACCCAACCACGACACCAGAGTTAGCAGACCCTCAAGCGAGCAAAAAGAGACATAAGAAGTCAAATTATTCCGACCATGTCCTCACAACGGCCACAGTGGAACGCGAGAAAGAGCCAAAGAAGAAGAAAAATCGAAAACATTCTGGACACGGCTTCAAAGATCCTTCGACAGACGAATCACTATCCGAGCAGGCCAGTAGGGGTGCGTACTCATTGATGATCCCCGCTTTCGACTTTACTCACTGTTTAGTAGCTCTCTCCTATGCATATACCCAGGCTCATAATCCCACAAACTGGAAATTTAACAAAGCCCGACAAAATTGGTTGATACGAAATGTACTGTCTGAAGAAACAGTGAGTATTGGATCATCTATAACGTTTATGTTAATACAAATAAAATCACCAGATACCTGATGACTATGTTCCTCTTGCGAACCGTTATATGTCTGGGGTACAGGGAGGAGCGCGAGACGTCAGTACCGTACTCAGCTCTGAAAGCACACCGAACGTCACGGTCGCTAACTATATCTTATCTAGGCACTTATCAAGTCATGTCGAGATGCTGCACTAGAGCAGTCGGAAGAATCTAAAGCAGATAAACCCGATGTTCCATCCAATGACGCTCCTTTAGAAAAGAAACAACGGGCTGCGGATATGGCCAAAGCTTCCTTCCAATCTACAACGAGAGAGCAGCGGGCTCGTGATCTACTAGAACTATTAACTCAATGTACTTCTCATGATTCGAAATAAAACGTGCTACTTGTATTCATGTAGCACAATGACACAAGGTACGGCGCGCTCGTCACCCTCGCATGCCACGACGTAGCTGAACTAATTCTTCGAAAGTGCTGCATTTCCTGAAACATGAACAGTTCCCTTGAGTTGGGAAATGAAAATTCCAGCATGTGTGTAACGACATCGCTGCATTCCGCTCTTCAACGTCTTCAACGTTCAACTACTAACCCTTTGCTATCATCTCTGTTGATGAGGAGACAGTTTCGTATGTGCATTAGTATGTACACTCAATTCTGCCGCCAAAACGTTCTGGCAAATATTGGCCCCAACGAAATCGCCAAACGCTTGGCGTTTAATAAGACCATGTAGCTCAGTGGTAGAGCGCGCGATTGCAAATCGCGTTGCCGCGTGTTCGATCCACGCCTTGGTCTTGTGCCACCATTGTGTATATGGTATCTTTTTTATTGTATTGAAATTATCGAAGTGGCCCCCAAGATTATATCATTTCTTCGACTATGTCGCTACATTGCGGGCTAGTCTATCCGCAAAAAAACTCAATTGTCAGTGCCTATGACAAGAGTGGGATTCGAACCCACGCCCTTTCGGACTACGAAACTGGTCAAACCTGAACGTAGCGCCTTAGACCGCTCGGCCATCTTGCCATCGTTGAAGTCTAACGAATTATTTTTGTATATAATTGGACAAACCTCGTCTGACTCGGCTATTAACTCCGATATTTATTAACAGGCTTTAGAATCTTTAACTCAACGGTCTCGCTCTCAACCCTGTCACCAGCTACCGCGAGGATGGCCTTCCAACAAGTGTTTCGACGAAACTTCAGCTCAGCTACTCGCCAGTCTCTCAAAATTGGTCTGGTCCCTGCAGATGGCATAGGTCGTGAAGTTATTCCTGCAGCGCGAGCTGCCATCGAAGCCCTTGGCTCAGACATCCCCAAACCCGAATTCGTTGACCTCCTCGCAGGATTCGAGTTGTTCACTAGGACAGGTACTGCTCTGCCTGACGAAACTGTTGAGTACGTCCTATAGTTGTCAAGCTCAATGTCCCGGTATTCTAACCATTCTATTAGAGCTTTGAAAGAGTGTGACTGTGCTCTGTTTGGCTCCGTCAGGTTAGTTCAACGGTCCAATACAGCGCACAATGTGTTGAACATCAGAAAAAAGCTCCCCTTCGAAGCGTGTCACTGGATATTCCTCTCCGATTGTCGCCCTTCGTAAAAAGTTGGATCTTTATGCCAATATCCGACCGGTCGTTTCTGTGAGACACTCGTACGCTCTCCCTTGCGTATATGGCTGAGATTCCCTTGCCAGGTTGCACCTAACCCAAATGATAAGCCTTCCGTAGATCTCATTGTCGTTCGTGAGAACACGGAATGTTTGGTCGGTCGATGCGTGTTATAAATTGTTCGTCCTTCTAATACATCCCTCCTGAAGTACGTCAAGCAAGAAGAGATAAAATCTACGGAGAGTGGTCGTGAGGCACGTGCAATTCGCCTTATTACTGAACGCGCATCTGCACGTATCGGTCGAATGGCTTTCGAGCTTGCACGAGCTAGGCCTCGTAAGGTATGTTACGATAGTTCACGTATCATCATATTTCTATTAATACTTCGAACGTTTTAGCACTTGACTATCATTCACAAGTCCAATGTGCTCTCCGTGACCGATGGTCTTTTCCGTGAGACTGTACGAGCCATCCCCAAACAAAACCCTGGCCGATACGATGACGTGACAATTGCTGAACAATTGGTAGACAGCGCTGTCTACAGGCAAGTCTAAGTCCTCCTCAGTCTGGACAGGGCCGAGCTAACCAACGTTTTTCTATGCAGACTATTCCGTGAGCCTCAGTAAGCTTCAATTTTATTTTTTTGCGAGATTTTACTGACAGTATTCAGGATATATGATGTCATGGTCGCTCCCAACCTCTACGGAGACATCATCTCGTAAGGCTGAACTGCCTGTCTCTCTGTATTGTCCTGATCCGTCATTATCCGATAGGGATGCCGCTGCCGCGCTCGTTGGCTCTTTAGGGCTCGTTCCCTCCATCAACGCTGGGGACAGCTTCGTCATGGGTGAGCCCGTACACGGTTCAGCCCCCGATATCGCTGGCAAGAACATCGCCAACCCCATCGCATCTATCCGCTCCGCGGCTCTCATGCTCCGCCACCTCGGCTACGGCGCTCCCGCAGATAGGTTGGATAAGGCTGTCGACCAAGTCATTCGTGAGGGTCAGGTACTCACACCTGACCTTGGTGGGAAGGCTACGACACAGGAGGCCCTCGATGCCGTGCTAAGGAAGCTCTAGAAAGGACTCTAGAATTATCATAAAAGCGAATATTCGCAATAGGGTTGCCTTGCACTTTTGCACAGCGTATATAGCCAGGCGATATGTAGCTAGCATACACGGAAATTTAGTGAGCTTAGCTAGATCGAAACGTTACACCTGTTATTCAATCTTAACTCTCTTCACGTATTCTGAACAGCACGCGATTAGGTCTTTGATCAAGGGTTTACATGTAACTCAAATAACAAGACATACCTTGACCTTGACCGGGGTCGTTGGCGTTGCTTTCTCTTTTCACTCCCGTCGTTCTGCTGAGGTCTGCCGCAGCTTGTGATGAGTAAAATCAGTACTGGTTTCGATTACTATTGAATTGCGGGAATACTACCTGTCGTGTTGCCTCTCCTACGTGGATCCACCCCTGACCCTTCGTCAAGTCAGACGATGTAACAGGTCTACACGATGTTACATACCTCTAGGTTCAGGCTTAATGGTGGGATCTATGGGATCATAAGAAAAGAAGGCACATTAGCATCGCATACATAGACAAGATCTATCATAAATTGTACCATTCTCTTCGGGCTTTACTTTCGGCCCCTCAAAACTCGACGGTAGTGTCTGAGTTTCTTGCTCAGGTTTAACACCGTCCGCTAAAATATTTGTGTTAAAGTTTACATCCAAACAGAATCCAAGTCACAGCAGTCACTCACTCTCCCTATCCACAGATAATTCACTAGAGGGGGCCCCCGCGGAGCGTGTTCTCTCGTATTCAGCGTACAATTTCTGCATCTCTGTTGAAGCATCTTTCTCTACTGGCATGGATGAGAGGCCTAAGCGCAGAGAAATCGGATTATGGGAGTGCCTACCACTGGTATCAGGCTTCGCAACCCCAGGTTCTGCCTTAACAGCAGATACTACCTTGCGACCAGGCTCTTGCTTAATTTCAGCGCTTTGTGCGCCTATAGAACGTCTCCAAGCTTCATACTGTGCTTGCGCTTCTGGAGAGGGATCATTAACAGACTCTGATTTTACTGAAAATGAACCAGAACACACGGTCAGCAGACGAGCAGACAAAACGTCGATTAACGTACCTAAACCAGCCTCCAACTTGACCAACGGAACCTTTTGATCTTGTGGTTCTGATTTTAATAGTCGTGCTGCCAATGTTTCTGCTAGTGTATGAGCTACTCGCCCGGCAATTAAAATAGCTGGCTGCACTGACCTTCGTCTTCCGGATCGAGTTTCTTGGTGTATAATTGACCTACGCGCAATGATCCGTCATCGTCTGTTTACTCACGTACAGAAAGATTACCGTACCAGGGTGAGGCTGAGAAGAATTATTCACAGGCACCTCTTGGGTAGACGGTGCGTCTTGCTGAGGCCTATCTGGTATGTGTTCAGCCAGACCGGCGAATATGGAGGATGGCACTGCCTGTTGCTCCTGCGCTGATGCCTTCTTCGAAGTAAACTCTTAAGAACAATCCTACTGAATCTTCAGACTCACGACAGGTTGAAGTATCTGTGGAGTGGCCGGAGTAGGTTTCGGCTTGTTGGTGGGCATAGGTAACGCAAGGTTTTTGCATGATCTCTTCCAATTTCTACAATCAGCCCACGCAGGCGGAGGATAAGGTTGTCGGATGGGCAGTGCATTATTCTGCAGGGCAATATCTTTACTGAGGTCCGGCAAAGGATGGCCCATCCATTGGTCTGCGATGCATGAACATCTTGATAGCAGGTGTTCCATTAGCAATGAGGAACTCACGGTCGTCCGGGTGCCCTTTCATCCCATAGTCATATTCAAAGATGTATGAAAACGAGCCATCAGGAGGCACAGACTCCTTGAGGGTTATCCTACTCCAGTCGTGTTCTCCCAGCAGGCATGAAACGTCCAACTTGTCCGAAAACTTTACGATTACTTCGATTTTCTACAGTCCCCAGATCAGCACAGAATAACAGCGCACGCACACTCGTCTGGTGGTCTATCCCTTGTAGCCGGATATCCATAGTTCGTAGTACGCACCGTACCGATATGCAAGATCTCGTCAGGTAGCAAAGTTTTGTTGGATGCATACCATAGCCATGCACCGACGTGGTCGAACCAAAAGCTGGTTCTTCTCGAAACCATTGTACAGCGGGGCCACGGATTCTCGATGACAAGATATTTACACCCTGGGTCGTCGTCGTACATCTTGCGCCCATTCTTCAGGTTCTTTAGTTTGCCTTTGCCCATCTTCAAGTGATGGTGGTGGGTGGTGTTGGTGGTAGATGAATAGGACAGTTGGCCACAAACAGTCGACGCCGGCGAGACAACACTTGAGGCAATCGCAGCACAACACAGTTAAGTCAATGAGGGTGTATTAAAGGCGGTGCGAGAGTGACAAGAGACGGTGAGTGCGCCGGTTGGTCAACGTTGAACGTTGAACGACCACGGTGTTTACGTTACTACAACATGCATTTGATCTTTACTCAAAAAGGCAACTAGTTGCTAGTGAAGACTTTCGTCCTCAGCACTTCTCGTTATCCAGGTCTTGCGTCAATACATAGCGATACCTGACTTTGTTGTTTCCAAGACTTTGAAGCGCCTTCCTCACGTCTTTCATAGGAAGTTCTTCAATCCAGGGCTTCACACCCTTCTCGGCAGCGACCCTCAACATTTCTATAGCCTCTTTCTTCGACCCAACGGATGAACCACCGATAAGTGCCCCATTTGGCACAAGATCGAAGGCGTGCAGGGTGGGAAGAGGTTGATTGGTATCGGGAAGGCCTACGTTGATGAGCTTGCCATGGACGTAAAGCATAGTGAGGAAGTCTTTGATAGGCAGCTGCGGCGTCGCGTCCATGGTTGAGATCAAGAGGTCTAGGGTGTTGGCGTTTTCTTGTGCAAAATCCTTCGTCATGAGGATGAGTGAGGGGCACAGCAAGTGGAACAAAATGAGATAAACCTTATTGTTGGTATCCACGATGTGGTCAGCACCGAGCTCCTTCGCGTCTTCAATCTTGTCGGGCGAATGAGTAAAAGCCCACACCTCTGCGCCTAAGGCCTTTGCGAACAGGATTGCGTAGTGGCCGAGGCCTCCAATACCGATGACACCGACCTTCTTGCCAGGTCCGGCTCCGTTAGTCTTGAGGGGCG